TTCTCTAAATTGCACAACAATATTGGAATATTTGTAGACAGTTGTGCAACTACATCTTCTGATAATGTCCTTGTACTTAGATCACGGAAGAAAGCTCCAATGCCTCCTAGTGCCTCATGGACATGTCCCGGTAGGAGTTCAGCAAACGCAAAAGGAAGTAACCGTTGCATAAACACATGACAATCATGACTTTTCATCCCTGAAAACTTTTGTCCTTTATCCACAGATTTAGCCAGATTAGATACATATCCATCAGGAAATTTCACGGCTGATGATACCCAATTAAACAAAGCTGTTTTTTGTTCAGCACCCAACCGAAATACAGGAACAGGTGCTTTCCCATTACTCACCATATGCAACTCAATTCTGTTACATATATCGGGTAAGTCCATCCGTGATTTAACGCTGTCTTTGGTTCTTCCTTGGACGTTCAAAACAGTATGCATGATGTTATCGAAAAAATTCTTCTCAATGTGCATAACATCAAGATTATGTCTAAGCAAATGATCTTTCCAGTAAGGCAGATCCCAAAATATACTTTTCTTGTGCCAATTATGATGAACCCCATATCCGTCAGGCATATTCGCAGGAGTGTGCCAATTTCCTCCAAGGGGGACCGTTTCAAGTCCACCCCAATGATCTATTTGCGCTTCAAGCTCTACTCCAGTTAGGTACACTGGTGGAGGGAGACGAACCAATTTGTTCTTTATAAACAAACGCCTATTTCTTCTATATTGATGGTTTGGTGGTAAAAACCGACGGTGGCAATCAAACCAACAGGTTTTCCTACCATGTTTAAGCTGAAATGCATCAGTCCTATGAAGACAATAAGGACATGATAACCTCCCATGCGTTGTCCAACCTGATAGCATTCCGTATGCCGGGAAATCGCTTATTGTCCACATAAGCACCGCTCGCATCGTAAAATTTTTACCACTCGAATAATCATATGTTCGTACTCCAACATGCCACAACTGGTTTAACTCATGTATGAGTGGTTGCAAAAACACATCAAGGGCCCGCTTCGGGTGATTTGGACCAGGGACTAATATACTTAGAAACAAAAACTCTCTTTGCATGCACATATCTGGAGGAAGGTTATATGGCGTAAGAATCACAGGCCATAATGAATATTGCCTACCAGACATACCAAATGGACTAAACCCGTCAGTGCAAAGACCAAGATAAACATTTCGCTTAGACCTAGCAAAGTCTGGATGTACGGTGTTAAAATGTTTCCAAGATTTCCCGTCAGACGGGTGAGTCATTTTGCCATCTGTTTGTGAATGTTCTGCATGCCATCTCATCGACGCAGCTGTCCGTTCGGATTGATATAGTCTTTTTAACCTATCAGTGATAGGAAGATACCACATTCGTTGGTAAGGAATCTTCTTACGCCCAGCAATTTGTGGTCTATATCTTGGCTTTTGGCAGAAACGACATTCTTCAAGCTTCTCATCATCTCTCCAAAAAAGCATACAATTATCAACACAAACATCAATCATCTCAGAAGGCAATCCAAGACTAAAAACCAGCTTCTGAATTTCATAATACGTTTCAGCAGCCAAATTATCATCTGGCAAATACTCTTTAATAAGATCTGCCCAATCGTTCATGCAAACTTCAGATAGATTGTGATCTGTTTTTATTGTCATCATCCGAGCTGCCAATGAGAATTTTGATAAACCTTCCCTACATCCCTCGTACAGAGGCTGCTTTGCTGCGTTTAACATATCATAAAAGCGTTTCGCATCTGCATTGGGCTCCTCAACAGTATCAGCATGTGTTTCATGAAATGCATCAGTAATCATTTCATGCATCCTATCATGATCTTCACCCTGAACTTGACTACTTTGATAATCATTGGACGCTACAAAATCCACATGTTCTTGATGATTACTAGTACTCCGTGCAGCCATCTGACCACTACTTTGACCATATCCCTCTCCATGCTGATACCAAATAAAGTATTGGGGCATGAACCCTCTATTCAATAAATGCTGCCAGACAGTGTCAATAAGAATATGTTTCCTATTTTTGCATTTCACACAAGGACAATACATTTTGCTGCTTTCAATTACAGTTTCCAGAAGGCCGGCTTGGTACATGAATATTTCCAATCCGTTTTTGAAGTCTTCAGTCAACGACCCATCACCATTTTCTGGCGTATACATCCACTTTCGTAGATCGTATATAGACATTTCAAAAACAAATATTTGACTTTTTGTTTCTGAAATTTGATAGAAATTTCAACTACTAAAAATTTTACTTAAACATTCAAAGACTCAAAAAATTTGTGTCTTTATATGTTTTTTTGGGTTGATGGAATAATGAGAGAAGAAGGGGTATATATAGAATTTTTTGTTTGGTTACCAACATATTACCATTGCATTTTTACATCAAATTTACGTCGAAATAAAATTTACATCACATTTACATTGATTTTACGTCAATTACAAGATAGAGGACAATTCGTCGTATTATCGATGTAAATATTACGACAAGATTACGACTAAATAAAATTCGTCGTAATCTTGTCGTAATATCGTCGTAACATTACGACGATTTTACGAGGGTTATTTTTTACGTCGAATTTACGACGAAATTTTTGATCGTCGAATACGACGTAATGTCGTCGTAAATTTACGACGACTACGAATCGTCGTAAATAATTCGATGGAAAAGCCCCTCTTTCTTGTAGTGATACAAATATTTCCCGCACATCTTTCAGGTCTTAGATGAACAAGGAAAATTGAGATGTCTATTTAAGAAGTTTGAAAAGGAAGATGAACTAGCAGCAAAGACAGAAACTTCTGTGTACCTCTTAGACCATCCAATACGTGGCCACAGATCAAAATCTCCAGAGATTTATGGCTTCTCAGGTGTACTGCCTACTATATTTCTGCGGTTCACAAAGGGGAATGAAAGCAATTTGGGAGTTCTGGTTCAGTTTGAGGAGAATGTGGGTTGCATCGACAAATACATTAGTAAAAATCCTCATAAGATAAACTTTGATGAAATACGTAGGATTTCTCTGCTTGATGTCCGTTTTGCCAATATGGACCGCAACGTAGATAATATCCTGGTCCAAGAAAAAGGAAACGGTACAACTCACTGTATTCCTATTGATCACGGAATGTGCTTCTCTAACAAAGGACAAATCTACAACATATGCAACCCTTACTGGTTAGGCGTAATGGAAAAGAGAGCCAATGAAGCTTTCTCCCCTGATTGTGTCAACTATGTGGCACGACTTGATCCGGATGTTGATATTGCATTTCTAAGGCGGTGTGGATGGGAACCTAAGTACATTGAACCGTTTAAGATTTTTACCACATTTCTGAAAATTGCAGTTTCGCAAGGAATTACAACTTACCATATTGGATTGATTGTTTCATTTAAGTGCAATGATCCGAGTTTTACCCTACAAGCGATGGTGGAGAGTGTTAAAAGAGATGGAAATTTTATTCTCAACGTGGGTAATCGCATAGAGAAGCGTCTTAAAGAATATCATGCAGCCATATGAAGTTATACCTTATGACATTTGGTTATGGTGACAATAATATGCACATTTATGTAGCATATGTTGCTACAAATATTGTTTATGGTGACAATAATATGCACATTTATGGGAGGTGTCTAGTTTATGTATGAAGATTTTACAGTAGTATTTTATATTTTCCGTTTTTAAATATTGTCCGCACTTATTCTAAATCATTATCCTTTTTATAGTATTTATATTCATTTGCAGAAAATTCGAAATATCTTTGAATAAAAGGATAGGTTTAGCTCTTATTGTTGTAATTCTTCTGTGCTTGGTCCAAGCAAGAGTGCAGATGTGATTGTGAAGGAGAGTTTGTGTAATTAAAGAGGAAGTAGTAGATGTGGGAATTTAAGTAGTGGAATGGTTTGAGGATTTTGTGTTCTTGATCACCTGCATCGTGTTTTAACAGATAACATTGTCAAGGAAAATGGTGAATAGGTTGAACGTAAGTGGCCAAACCCTATCAGATTATAATAGTCTATGCCACGTGAAAATATCATTAATCTTATGCGTATATAAACAAGTTGTTTATTCCTGATGGTAGGTACCTTGCTAAACCCTATCAGTTTTTTAATCAACCTCTAATATAGTATCAGAGCACCAAACATTTTCCGGTTCATAACAACGGGATGATGTAGGCGGAATCATGAAGAGGATTGAGTAGAAATGGTTGGTGATCAGGGGATCCTGCTGGTGAATTAGCGGTTTTGGGAAGTAGATTGAGAGAGAGAGTTAAAGTGAAGGAGTATTAAAAAAGAGGCCAAGGAGCTTTCTGCTTTTTTAAGGGTCAAGCTCATGAAGGAGTGATTCTATCTATGAAGTTTATTCCTGTGGTTGGTACCTTGCAAGTTCCAGTGAAGACAGGGGTTTATATATGGGTTTGGAGCATTGTTGAAGATTATAGATGTGAAGAACATGACGTTCCCATGATAGATCCCTCTTGTATGACACCTGTGCCGTAGAAAAGGAGGGCACTACTGGTTCAGTGATGAGTCACAACAGAGTCCGCTTGTGTTAAGATTTTCCGGGTTCTTGAGAAACCAGTTTACGAGTTTCTCGGCCACAGTCCGTCTGTCTTTATGCCATTCTTTAGTTTTGAAATTTTGCAGTTACATCTGTGTTCACACTAACCCGGTTGATGATGATCACTTCATCAACGGTTCGATAGATGAAAAAGTTTGTATCTGGTCAAATTCTCAGTGCCAAGTTCTAGAATGTACCGACGCCTAGACTAAATAGTCTGACAGTAATGAAGCCGTGAACAATGGCCACTGGGAGACTGAAAGCGCGACGACTCACTGAAATTCAATTTGATGAAACTTTAGTCTTTACTACAGAAAACCGTCCGGTTCAATCGAAATATCCGGTTCGCATTTTTTTTTTTTTTTAAATTAAAAAATTGTTTTCTCCTCTTCTATAAGCATAATAGAGACAGAACATATGTGGGACACTTCACGCCTCCCTTGTACGAACGCAACAAAGACGAGATAATCTCGGTCCTGATCTTATGGAGGGATCTACACTCAAACGACGCTGGAGTTGTCCGGATACGAATTTGATTCTGCGACCAAAAAGAGGATCTCCATTGCTGTTACTGTCCCCAGAAGAGGAGGATGGTTGTCGTCTCTACAGCCCAGACGAAGATAGGGTTTACGAGACTACTACAAGGAGTGATTTTTCAGGGTATCGAATCCTGGGAAACTCGGATAATTGGTTCCTGGTGGTAGATTCTCGATCGGATCTCTATATTGTAGATGTGTTTAGTGAGGAGAGGATCCATCTCCCACCTCTAGAGTCAATCAAGGGTAATTTCTTTAAGCTTGAGCGAGCAGGAGATAAAGAATTCAGTAGTATATTCATTTGTAAAGATGGTAAGTCTTCTTCTGGTGGGTTTCTTCGAACTGCCGATGATCTTAGAGGTCTTTTGTGGGTAGACGACAAGAACGGAGACTACGTTGTTGTGTGGCGTTTTTTTGGGGATGAACAATATTTAGGGTTTTGCAAGAAAGGGGATGATCATTACCGCGAGATTTCAATGAAGATGGGTGTTCGCTGGGAGTTACGTGGCCGAAAAGATATGGTACTCAAAGGTTACAGTCTTTACATCCTCGCCACTCGTGACTTCATTCGACACCTTGATTTGTCTAGACAGGATGGTTTCGAGGATGTGTCCATGAGCCCTACGTTTCCAATGTGGAGTCGAGATATTCTGGATTTGTATGACATAGAAACACTCGAAGGAAAGACCAACATCGAAGGTAACAGTTACGTTGCTGTTACAACATCAGGAGAGGTTTTCATTGTCAAAACCAAAGCTTGCGAGTCAAACTTTGAGAAACATAGGATGTTTCGCCTCTTCAAGAGGGATCCTAAAGATGTAGACACCGAAACCAACAACAACATATGGCTTGTTGAGGTGGATTCTGTAGGTGGTGGTGATGAGGCCCTGTTTCTTGATTTGGGCACCACTGTGCCTGCTGACCATACCCTTGGTATTGAGCCGAACTGCATCTATTTCTCCCGCGATCGCAATGAACCATCGCCGCTCGACATCTGTGTGTACAATCTTGCAACAAAGACCATCAAACGCTTCCCTAGTCTCTCCAGCTTTAAACTCAAGGATGCTTGGTGGTTTCTCCCCTCTTGATAAGTTTCCTTCTTTGTTTTCTACATCCTGGTGTTGTTGAGGTATTTTCAGACTCTGCTTTGGTCTCTTCTTTCTTCTTTTGATGTACTATCTATGACATTGCTATCTTCTTTTACTTTTGATGTATAATCTATGACATTGCTAAGTGTTTTGAATACCTGAAGACTTGTGTTCCAAATTTCAAACCATCAAATCACTTCAGATCAAATCATTAAACACTCGTTGGTTGCATGAGTAAAGAGTTGAATATCTGTGAACCATAGACATTTTTGTCTAATTGCTTCTTTTTTTTTTGTTCTAATACATTCTCATGCTGAATCTAATTAGGTGTTCATAAATAATTAGTCTAATTGCTTCTCTTTTGTTGAAAAAAAAAAAACGAAGTCAAATTGCTTCGTGAGAGACAATACAACCTTTGATTGAATTGAACAATAAATAGTCTTTCTTAATGAATGAACGTAGATGGAAGACAAGAAAGAAAATAAAAATGAGTTCTTGTTTGTCATCGACTTCACTGCCGATTCTGTCATTTACAGAGAGAGCTAAATCTCTGTCAGAGATCCAACAAGCTCATGCCTTTATGCTTAAAACAGGTCTTTTTCGGGATACTTTCTCTGCTAGCAAGCTTATTGCCTTCGCCGTCGTAAACCCAGAACCCAAAACCGTCTCTTACGCTCACTCCATTCTCAATCGCATCGAGAGCCCTAACGCCTTCACACACAATTCCGTCATCAGAGCTTATGCTAACAGCTCTGCTCCCGAGAGTGCTTTGACCGCGTTTCGTGAAATGCTTCTTGGCCCGGTGTTTCCCGATAAGTACAGCTTCACGTTCGTGTTGAAAGCCTGTGCTGCGTTTTGTGGGTTTGAAGAAGGAAGGCAGATTCACGGTCTTTTCTTGAAGAGCGATTTGATCTCTGACGTGTTTGTGGAGAATACGTTGGTCAATGTCTATGGGAGAAGCGGCTACTTTGAGATTGCGCGTAAAGTGCTCGATACAATGCCTGAGAGAGATGTTGTTTCGTGGAATTCGTTGTTGAGCGCTTACGTCGAGAAGGGTTTAGTAGAAGAAGCTCGTGGGGTGTTTGATGAGATGGATGAACGGAATGTAGAGTCTTGGAATTTTATGATTTCGGGTTATGCAGCTGCGGGATTGGTTAACGAAGCTAAAGAGCTTTTTGATTCTATGCCGGTGAAAGATGTGGTTTCATGGAACGCAATGGTGAGTGCTTATGCGCATGTGGGTTGCTACAGCGAGGTTTTAGAGGTTTTCAATGAGATGCTTAACAGTTCCACAGAGAAACCAGATGGTTTTACGCTTGTTAACGTCTTATCTGCTTGTGCTAATCTTGGATCTTTAAGTCAAGGTGAATGGGTACATGTTTACACCGATAAGCATGGGATTGAGATTGATGGGTTTCTGGCAACAGCTCTTGTGGATATGTATTCGAAATGCGGGAAAGTTGATAAGGCTCTTGAAGTGTTTAGAGCCACTTCGAAGAAAGATGTCAGTACATGGAACTCGATGATCTCGGGTTTAAGCGTCCATGGTCTTGGAAATGATGCTCTAGAGATATTTTCAGAAATGGTTCATGAAGGTTTTAAACCGAACAGTATCACTTTTATCGCTACTCTATCTGCCTGCAATCATGTGGGTATGTTAGATCAAGCTCGCAGACTTTTTGAAACGATGAATAGTGTTTACGGGGTTGAGCCAACTATTGAACACTATGGTTGTATGGTGGATTTGCTTGGTCGGATGGGGAAATTCGAGGAAGCGGAAGAACTAGTGAACGAGACTCCAGCAGATGAGGCTTCGGTTCTATTGGAATCTCTTCTTGGTGCCTGTAAAAGGTTTGGTCGAATGGAACAAGCAGAGAGTATAGCGAATCGTTTACTGGAATTGAATCCAGGAGAGACTTCAGGTTATGTTCAGATGTCAAACTTGTATGCCTCTAATGGAAGATGGGATCAGGTTATGGAGGTGAGAAGAAAGATGAGAGCAGAAAGAGTAAAGAAGAAGCCTGGATGTAGCATGATAGAAGTCGATGGGGTTGTCCATGAATTTTTAGCTGGCGAAGGACTAATAATTGACTAAAGCTCGGTAATTTCCAAAATCTTTGTTCGTCTTATTCTGTCAATTTTAGAATATTGCTATCAGTTTTGGTTATAGCCAAGAATCATGAAATTAGAGGGGTTGCATCATAGAAAGCGCAAATTATTATCAAATTAGAATGATTATTCATGCACGGACTTTATATTACTATTCTACACCAAAATTAATGAAATTTCAGATCACCGTGCACCTGCTGAAACACATTAATGATCATGTCATGATATTCATCGGTATTGAGTCTGAGATAACAAACCAGAAGATCTTTGAGTTCTTCAGGGTGGTTGATACCATTCTCCATGATCATCTCAATCATTGAATCTCTAAAATCCTTCTGAGGATCGCTCGAGCATTTCACTACTGCAAAGCTTTCATTCTCCATTCCTCCATCTGCTGCTTCTATCCCAAGCTCGTGCTCCCGTGCTCTCAGTTTAGCTTTCTTCAAGTCTTCAATCGCTTTAACTCTGCATTTTTCAGATGCTCTTGGTGAAAAAACTCTAACCTTGCTGTTTTCTTTTGTTCCTAATCTGTTTAGCTCCCTTCTTAGGTACAGAGATTTCCTCTGTTGGTCAGCCTTCAGCTTCACTTCTCTTAGTTTTATTTCCTTGAGCTTTTCCCACTGATGAGCCGTTTTTGTTACGGTATGACCAAGAATCACAGAATCCTCTCTACTGTAAGTTCCTGTACCTGTCCTTCTCGCTGATTTCTTCGCCTTGACCTCTGCGTCTTGTTCTGATCTCTTTGGCTTTTGTTCAAGAAGCCTTTGGTCACGTCTCTCACATCTCTGCTTATCTCTGTTCACCTGAATTCTTGGCGTCATGATCACAGTTCCTTGGTCTCTATCCATTGCCTCTGCTTCCAGAAAACCACGCGTCTCTCTTTGGAATTCTCTTACTTTCTTCCTCACACTGCTCATTATCTCTTCAAACTTCTCACTTGATTCCATATCGGCTGGCCTTGTTGCAGCGTTCTCCTTTTCTAATGATACTCTCTGAAACCTTTTGCTGCTCTCATGAATATCATTTCGACGTTTAGTAGAACTCAAGGAAGATTTTGCAGACATGTTCTGGCTAGCTTTTTCATCTTGCTTCTTCTCTTTTGCAGGTTTCAAGTCAGACGAACCACTTGACTTTGAAAACCAAGAAACAGGATAAGCACGAGACAACCCGGAAGAGGAAGAAGAAGAAGAAGAAGAAACAGGTTTCTTTCTCCCCCATCTCATCATTCCAAACGATCGAAGAATCTGAAAAACGTATGTGCTTTTGTTTGTTTTACCGGGTTTCTTAAACTAGACTATAAAACAATATGATAAAAATGAAGGGATGTATCTAGAGCTTACTGCTGTTATATGGTTAGGTCGTTGTGTTTAATAGGGAGATTGAAGATGTTGTCTTAACGGGTAAAAGCTAGTTGCAGTTTGAAAAAGAGAACCAAACCCGCCTGAAGAATCCTGTGACCACTTTTAGCCTAAATAGACTTTTTCTTTTATTGGTTTTAAAATCTCTGGGTATGTTCTGGAATTTATACCAAAGGTGGGGGACCAGTTTTATCAATCAAAAACCAAACTTCATTGATGACAAAGACTTAGGCTCTCTCTCTCTTTCTCTTGTTTCTGAGTAACGTGACCGACCCAAGAACCACAAGAATCATCCCATCTTTTAGTTTGGAGTAGCTGTCTTTGTCCCGTAAAAACCCTTTAGAATTGAGTTCTTGGCTCATGGAATCAATTGGCTGTACATGGTTACATTTACATGATTACATTAGTAGTCATTTAGCAAAAGCAGTTATAGAATGAATCCGAAACCCGAGTTTCGTCCAAAATAACAATATGATTGGTACCGGTCCCGGTCTCTCCTGGTCCTAGGCTGAGAGATATTTTAATCATGAAGAAGGTAAAGTTTAAAGGATTTAGGGTTATCTGAAAGTTAGAGATTTTCTGAAGTCGATGTGGTCCTGATTTTAGAAGAACAGCTAAAATCTCTCCATATGGATATATCACCTACCTTGAGGTATGGTTTGTGTCATCCACCACCAACTTGTTCATGATTTTCAATTTATTTATTTCATTTCTTTTTTTTCTTCTATATAGTATACCCATCAAAATGGGGATAGAAAAGGTTTTTGTTATTATTTACATCAGTTTTTTGTTTCTCTTATATTGTCAAGACTTTGCATTGAAGCATTAGCAAATTCATCTATTTCAGGCCCTTCTACTTTCTAATCTGAAAAGGAATAAAAGAATAATACCCCATGCCGTATTTAAGATTTTCCATCAAATGTAAAAATAAAAAATTGTATATGATATATAAACTTTAATGTTATTTATCTTTTTTGATTTTTTTTGGAGACTAGCCTTGTATTTATTAAAAAGGACAAGACGTTATTATTTCACGGCTATTTCAAACTTGGTGATAGCGATACAAACCCGTGTGTTTTTTTTTTGACAAAGAGTAAATGTTGTAACATTATTTAATATCATTTTGATGTAATTATCAATAATAATATTAATTATCCCAAGTTTCTTTGATTGATTTCCTACAAACCATTAAGATTTACCGTCACCTTTTGACTGTTTTAGTATACTTGTTTTTGTTTATCATGTATCAAATTGTGTTTCTACAAATGTACCAATCATATCATTCACCAATGTAATGTTTTTTTTGAATAGCATATCATTTCCGTATGGATACTAAAATAATGTTGAATATGTACATTCAATGTTACAATTCAAAGCTTAACTTTATTATAAGGTATTTGACTGTTTTAATTGACTCAATTTTATCATTCAAGTATGTTTCTACAAATGTGCTATTGCTGATAATGATATCATATTAATGCTAAATAAAAACGGTCAATATAGAGTTTAATGCTTATCCTTTTCAGCAATCAAGTGAAATCTTATATATATATATCATACAAACAAACATTAATCTACAACTCTTATAATCGAATTAAAATTTTGATTATAGAGTTAAAAAGATTTCAAAAATGGTTCATTCAAGATTTTTCTTATTTGCTTTCCTTGCTCTCTTCGTTATACTTGCAGGTTAGTCTCATTAAATCGAAACCGTATTAAACGGGTTCTTATTGCTCTTTTTCGAAATAAAAAAATCTTGAATATTTGTTATTTTACAGATGTTGAAGCTATAGACGTGGTGAGTGATGGTTCAATTTGGTCACCCACCAAAGGAACTTCATTGTGCTGCAAAGATCACCCTGAATTCGGAGTATGTTCTGATAGAAGTTGCAAGAAGTGGTGTCTTCAAGGTTGTGACAATAAGAAAGGTGGCTTTTGCAAGAACAAAATTTGTCATTGCTACTGCTAAATTAATTAAAACTTTAAACTCTAAGAAGAAAAAAACATTATGTAATTGTAGAAAGACCAACAAGTCAATGAATATAAATTGGAAATCTTGGACATATAAATTGGAAAGACTTAGGAAAAATATAATTTATATAACCAAGAACTCTATAGTAAGGGCTGTTAAAGAAAACTCTATATGTTTATGGTTACTCCAAGTTTTTGGTATGATACGGAGCAGTCATGGATGGTTAAGTGAATCATTCTTCTTGCGCGATTAAACATTTGTGAACTTGGTTTCGCTTCAAGAGAGACCCTTTCGTCACATATCTTTGTGTTGCATTTTGGGATTTTTCTGAATTAGCAAACAGAGGAAACCAGCAATATTTGGAAGCTTAATGATCATGAAACGAAATCCAAGCTTATACATGCATAGGTTGTGTTCCTTTGGAGTTTCTAAGTTAATATTTAGCTCATATGATCCAAAGTTCTTAGCTGAACCTGTTGACACACCAATCTGCATGAACGTTCGTGTATATGTTTGAATACTAGCATTAGTATAGTCCATCTTTTTCCGTAAGAATCGTAGATGAAATGTTGGTGATCTATGTAAGTCTTTGTATCCTCTGTTTCTTTTTTTTCCCTGTGATGAAGTGTTTGTATCCTATTAGCTTTGGTTATACCATACTCTATACTCTATATTCTGTGCGTGAGTAGACATGATTCTCTGGAATTTAGGCTTGCGAATCAATGATATCGAACCATTTTGCCAAGCTGACCTTGCTTTGTGTCGACAATGTGCTGAAAGAGAGTAATGTTGTTTGTTTCTACATAAAAGCATCTGCTCTATTTTTATTTCTATATCCATTTCCTTGACTCCTTGAGTTTTTATTTTCGTATAATCCAAGACAATTTGAGATTTAAGGTTCTATAGTGTATTTTATTTTTAATAATCTTTATGAAAAAAGCTAGTCTCCGGTTCTGGTGCTAACAATTCTAAATATGGTACGTAAAATCTGTGAGTCTTCATATTCTCGATTTTTGTCTCCGTCCACCGAGTAGAAAGAAGAAAATACGACAAACAATGTTATTAACACCAATATTTTGGTAAATCTGATGATATGAAACAGAATATCCGTGCAAAATGATCCAAAGATTTTTTTGGACGTTAGACAAAATCCAACGCAATCTCCATAAATCAAACTAAATATTTTTTAAAAAAACATAAAGTATTGGAGAAGACGAAAAAATCCAAAATCCAAACAGAAAATCAAAGAACAAGAAAGAAATCTAAATACTAAAGCAAATGCTTAGACATTGCTGGAAACGATCTCCTCCTCTGGAAAGAAATGTCTGTTATACAACATGAGAGAATCAGCTGCAACAGGTTCATTGTCTTGGTTTCGATGCCAAGTATAAAGTGCATGAGTTCGGTTCTTAATCTCCAAAAGTGCATGACCGAAACTTGCCTCCCTATATGCCGAATAACTTGGTTGTGGATCAGTGAAACTGTAAAAGAAAAAAAAAAGTAAACCCAAAACATATAAGATCTTAGTTAAGACAAGAAAAAGAAAGTTATAAAATGTTTTTGTTACCTATTTGCGATTCCTTCAATGTTTCCTCCATCTCCGATTGTGATGTAAATTGGCGCATTGGGGTCTTTGATAGGAGTGCTCAAACCATTTGTGATGTTATACTTAATATTGGAGATACGTTCGGATCTCTCATAGGCATGGACGTGACCAGACAAAACCAAATCAACCTTGTTGTTAACAAACCACGACTCAAACATTAGCCTCATGCTCTCACCTTCCATGTAATGGTAGTTGTTGCTGTTGTACCACGGGGAATGAACCAATACAATCAACCATGGAGTCTCCTCTCTGTTCACGTTCTTCAGCTCCTGCTCGAGCCACACGTATTGCGGTGTGTATTTGCCTGGATATAAGATAACGTGTTACGCAAGAAAAAAAATCAAGAGAGATTATAAAATATTTAGGGTTTTGTGATTGTTTTTGTTTACCGTAGGCAGAGTAAGAGGAGAGGACGATGATGTGAGCAGGGCCGCGTCTGACTGAGTACCAAAGAGGAGATATGCTCCCTGAGGCTTTATAGGCGTTAGGGTAACGGTGCTTGTAAGGCTTGAAGGCGTGAGGCTCACCCTGGTTACAGATTCATATTGTAAATAAACCGAAAACACTATGATTAGAGAGTAATAAAGTGAATCTTACAATTTCAGGAACGTAATCAATCTCGTGATTCCCGGCGGCAAAGATAAAAGGCTGATAAGCAGCGCAAGGTTCCACGAATCTTCCCCAAGTATCCCACTTTCTTTGGTCATGGTTTGGGTGGTCGTCAGCATAAGACAAGTCTCCGGCAAAGAGAACGGCTTGACCTTTAGGGTTTGACATGTAGTGGTATAATGTCTCGTTAGATGCATAGGTTTGTCCAAGATCACCTACAAAAACATATAACTCATTAGACATCATCGATTTGGAAACCCTAATTTCAAAATCTAGGTTTAGAAAGATCCGTGAGTTACCCATAATCCCGAATGTGTATGGAACATCTGGTCCAACCTTTGGGGGAGTTGTGAAGTGGAATTGTCTAACGGATTGATCGGTACCAACCTCGTAGATGTACTTAGTATCATACTGCCATGTAAAACGAGAACAGAAACATTAAGAAGAAAGATTAGTCAATGTTCTTACATGGAATGATAAGTTACGTGATAGAAAGTTCACAAACCTCAAGTTCTTTGATGGTGGCGTGATGAATAAATCCAGAAGCATAGTCATAGAATCTGTAAGATGACGTGGAGGCATGAGCTTTCTTCTTTTCCGGCTTCACGTCGCTTCCGTTACCGGCGATCCAGTAAGTAACGACGTTAGTACCAGCTAGATTTAAAGGCGTCACCCATGAGATGATCATGGCACGTCCGTTGTGGTCTCCTTGCGTTAGATGAACCTAACTCATGCAATACACAATTAAAAAAAAACTCAATACAAATTGTTGGTGGTTTGATCTAATACTATATGAACAGGTAAAAAAAATTATAAGACCTGTTCAGGAGCATTGTGAGTAGAAGGAGAAGGGAATGTTTCCAGAGGCATCTCAATAGAGGGTTGAGCTTGTCGTACATACTCACTCGTTATTCCACCATTGATTGCGTTAGCAATGCTTAAAAACACGAGGGAGAATATGAAGAGATTGATCATGTTTGATTGTTTGCTTGCTTCGAGAGTTTTAAGTTTTGTTTGTTTGGATTACTGAGTTATCTACGCTTCATATATTTATAGCTAAGTGGGATCCTAGGAATATGCCAATAGGAAAATAGTTGATTCGGAATATTATCTACCAACAAAATCTATATTTTTTTTAAAAAAAATAAGCTATCTATAAGTTTTTTTTTTTGTAAAAACCCAAAATTTTTGATATAGTAATATACGCTCGTATAAATCAGTCTTATAGTTAATTCAAAAAAAGTATTCAGTTTCGCTGATAAGAATATATTTTTAAAGGATAATTTTGGTGAATATTTTTGACGATAATAATAGAATTTAGTAAAGCATTTTGATGGCATAAACGTAAGCTCATTCTAAGCTTAGGAGAGCTAACTTCTTTAAAAAATCTAAATACTTGAATTAATTTTCCTTGTACCCTTTTCATGTTTTCAATTAAAAAAATAATCAGATAGTGAAACTATTTTCTGCAATTAAAAATTTAAAAGGTTTCATAGTTTACGCGGTTTATTATACATAAAAACATGATTTCTTTTTTTTTAATAACATCTATTTTATTAAATGGTAAAAGGTTGATACAACATGTTTACAAGCTACATAGGTGGTATTTGAAAAACAGAAGAACAGAGTTGTACGCTTGTTTTGCCAAAGTATCCGCAGCTCGATTACATAAAAACATGAATTATGCTAGAAAAAAAGAGAAACAGGATTGAAAAGAAAAATAGAACTTAATTAGGAAAGTGAAAACGACAAGGTTTCAAAGAAATGGGTTACAAACAATAGGGTATATTCGGGGGCAAAAAATTAATAATTTATAAACAAAAAATTAAACGGTTACACATATGTATTCTTGGATAATCATATTTAAAAGTTTAAATATTGGAAAATAATATTGGTTGACGAAGAATAAATAAGATCATCCGTATTTTTTTATTGTCAAAATAGAACACATGTGTATAACACAAGTCTTCTGTCGTGTCATAGTACTAGAAGTCTAGAACGACCGGTTTTCCGATTCTTATAGTAGAGTCTTGGTTGTTGAATCTCTCCTATTATTCTGTGTTGATTCGGGTCAATTTGATAGTCTATTTCGTCTTTCGGGATTTTGTAGATTTGAAACTTTAATGAATCGACAAGTTTCTAGAAGAAGCAAAATCTTTAAAATTATCTTTAAAATTTCTGAGCAGAGTATGTGATATGGAAGATGAGGACCTTCAACGGATTCAAAAACCTCGTGGAGCCAAAACGGAAAGAGTTTCATAGTTTGGAATCCGGCAGAATGTTGCAAAGACCTTCCTTTGGGACTCTAAAAAATCAGCAACTTTTTTAGCCAATTTGTGATAAATGTTGCTATGTTTTGTTGAACGAAGGGCTTAATACTTTATGATCGATGTTGCTATATTTTGTTAAACGTAGTGCTACACTTTGTTATCGATGTTTGTTAATACTTTGTGAGCATAGGGCTTTGTGATCGAAGTTGCTATAATCCTTGGTGATTAATGTTGGTGGTATATTTTTTGTTGAACACTTGCTAAGCTTTTGGAGAAGATTAACGCCACATGGAGAAGGTGAATGCATATCATGAGTTGAAATGGAAGCCACACCCATACTTAGGTCGGTTGAAAATTTGCAAGATTAGGGAAGAACGTGATCTAATTAGTCAGAATGGAAGGGGTCATTGAAAGGAAGATGAAGGAGAGAAGAGGGCACCTTTATCGAAAGATGTGGAGGATATCGAGTGCAACATATAGTTGTTTGACGATCAAATTCTCATAATCTGTATGAATTCTCTAACTAATTGATATGCTTTGTGACTGCTAAAATCATTTTTGATTTGTTGCTAGTTTTTGAATCAGAAAAGTTCATTTGCTGAAGTGATCGGTTAATCAGTGTGTAGTAGGTTATACTCAATTCAATTGTGTTTGCCAAAACATTACTTTATTTAAAAAATTATAAACTATACCAATTTTATTTGAGTCTATGATATATGACAATACACCTGAAAATATATTCAGACACTCCTTGGCTTTCCATATCTCAAAAGTACTATATAAAATCATGTGGTTAGACAACACCAAAATGCATAAATCTCTTTACAGAATTGTCGAATATACTTTCGAATATGCATGTAATTCAGAATTTGATTTTCTCTGTATAATATACTTGAAATTTGAAAGGATAAAAGCAAGAAACAAAATGACATGTGCACAAATTTTGGACATGATAAATCGTTATATCTTACTAAATCATTTAAACCAATATTATGATCAGAAAGAGAAAGCAATGTTTTAAAGACATCTCGACCAATGATTGAGCTTGTCGGACATATTTGTTTGTTATTCCACCATAGATTACAATAGTGTTACTTAGAAATACAATGGATAATTGGAATAGATAAATTATTTTCATTGATCATTTGTTTTTTTCAAAAGCTTTGATATTGTTTGTTGTGATGACTTGCTTCTTTACCTTTTAGAAATATGCCACTATTGTTGAAAAGAGAAAAAAAATTAGATTAAGAAAAAACATGACAACGTTTAAAAGAAATGTCACAACTGGATCTGGATCTCCTGAACCATATCATATGGTGTTATGATAGGCTGTAAGACGGTAGCTGCCAACATCTTGAGCAATGACTTCTCGGACGAGGAAGAGGAGTTGAGAGAACTTATGGTTATACTATCATCTTGTTTTTTTATTTGTTGGCATTTTAAAAATATAAAAAAAACAATTATTGTTTAATTGTCAGATATAAATCATTTAATCTTTGCATAAATTTTCTAAAAAACCATCCAATTTTAATATGAAATTTTTGTCTTCAATTCGTATAATATAAGATTTTCTTTAGTTTCCGCTATTTTCGAAAGATTACAAAATAATATGAAGTAAAGTTGTAAGTTTTTGAAAAACACAAACATTGATATGAAGAAGAGAGATACCATTTCCGAGATGAGAATCATGAGATCCTTTAGCTGATATGGTAAACTTCTTTCCATTGAACAAAATCTCCAGATTCACTAAGAGCGAAGTTTCAATCTCGATCAAAAGAAACAAAGGAAAAAGATTCTAGTTTCACATCTTTACCTGAGAGCGATGATGATCGAGATCAAAGACTTGATGATGAGAATAAGGAAGAAACTTGGTGGAAACGGCACAAAGAAAAAACAACACCACAAACTTTCCTGGTCGTGATTCTCACTGCGTCCTTTGTTGATTCAGACAATGCTTGTCCGTATGAACCGCTAATGTTCAGACAGAAAATCCTCATCATTCTCTGTGACAGCCTCATCAAGTTCCTCCTCGCTTCTGCAGAGTACGTATCACTGAAGAAAAAATACTGAGTAAACAAAAACGAAGGCACATTGATTTTGGAAGTTTTAGGTTTACTTGTGAAACAAGTTATACCTCCAAGGTCGGTAATGTTTGTAGCCATGAGACTAGCCATCCTCTCACACTGTCTCTTCAACACTGATAACCACCGTTGAGATAGTCAAAGGCCACACCACTCTTTACATACTCTCTTATCGCCTCGTGCTGCACATGCTTCTCCTCTACTTCCACATGTTACCCACGTGACCTGAGAGTATCCGCTAGGTATATCTTGAATGATGCAACCAGAAGGTTTGCTACGGTATTTATCAGTAGTAGTAGTAGCTGAAGCTGGTTTGATCAAACCGTGAAAGCTATCGATCGGGAAATCTACAATCATCTATTTTCCTTCTTCCGCCATTTGCTCCACATACCGAATAAAATATAACCCTCTCTTGTTGGTACCAATCATAGTCCTTGTAACTCTGCATACATCTTTTTCAATAAACAAAAAACAAAAAGTTTTCCTTTATTATAAGAAAACGTATTAATAAGATGAATCCTCCACTAATGAGTTGCAATATCGTTACTCACCAGAAGAAGAGAACGACTTGCTCCAGAAACTCCAGAAGAAATGATTCTGATCGTTTTGGCTCTTGACACTAGTGAGCAGAACATTTCCGACTATTTTTCCTTCAAGCTAAATTTGAACACATTTCTGTTAACTGTGAGTTTTAAGTTTAAAAAAAAAGTAGTTCAAGAAACGCATTTGACTTCTTTTTTCTTACTGCATCAAGGAAAGCATTGACGAGGGATATGCTATTCATGAGGACAACTGTGTTAGCTCTTGAAGCTTCTCTGCGAAAATGATCATTAATCCACAAGGGCTCATTTGTGTAACACAAATTTGCTAATTCTTGAACACAAGAAACCGCAAGATCCATCGCAATCGCCTTTTCTTCTTCCGCAATCAATATAACAATGTTTTTATTAGTCTCCGAGAAGAAGCAGGCAGTGTCTTTTGGAGAAGGATTCATCAAAGTCCTTGAGAATAACCATGTTGGGATCATAAGTAATCAGTTCTTTTTTTGGTTTTTGTAGTTTTGTTAGATGATGAAATTTTGGTATTTTTCAGAACCAGATGCTCTTTACTTGTTTGATCTATTTCTTGATGCTTTCTACATTAATGAAAACATCTCTATTTCGTTTCCCAACTCATAAAAAATCTCTATCTTTGATTAAACAATTAAAAACTGATCCATTTATTTGTGGTAAGAACAGATCCACTAAGATTACAATTGCAAAGAAGCTACATTGATTTTGACTACAGTAAATCTTGCGTATGATCGATCAAAGAACAACTAAAGCCTTATCTTATCTTGTTGGAGACCTCGTCGACAGACATTTCCCGCACGACACGAACTTCAATAACGAATGTGGTCTTGCCCTTCTTGTTCTCACCTTCAACCTCGTGACCTACAATTTCAAAGTTTCCATTTAATCAAATACACACAACCATTTTTTCTTTTAACTCGAACATAATAGAGGGTTTTTGTTGGTACCTTGCGACGTGTGCCTCTTGAGGATTTCCAGCATAACATGCTTCTTGATCTGGGTTCAAGCCTCCTGTAAGAAAAAAGGATAAACATTTATACAAAGTGATTTATAGTTTTGGGATGCTTCACTAAGTGTTTTGAGATTCTTACAGATTCTCTTGTTCCAGCTTCTCTGCGATAGATACGGCTTTGCGTTTAGACCAGCCGTTTTGGAGTGTGCATCCATCAGCTTGCTGAATCACATGAGCCAACGAGACCTTCCCTCTCACAATGCTTTGGCTCTGGTTCTGATTCTGGCTTGCTTCCAAATGCTTCCTTCTAGCTCTGGCTAACGCGGAAGAACCAACTCGCTCTGTCCTCTCCTCCTCTTGCTTCTGTTGTTGATGCCGTCTTTGTCCGTTGGATTCAGTGACTTCAACTATCTCACTTCTCCAGCTTCCATCCATGTTGTTATCTTGGCCAATGAGTGCTAATGGAAAGCTTTTATCTTTTGCAGACGGGTGATGATGATGATGATGATGATGATGATTCCCATTGTTTCTTGGGTCTTTCTTTGTCTCGCATCTGATTTCTATAGTCACCGGAGACTCAAGAACCACCTCAAATGCTTGCATAATATGGCTACGGAACTTCTCAGCCGTCGATTTGGTTAAAGGTGAGCTGAACATTAAATGCACAGTAGGAGCTGCAACAACACAAGTAAAGGAAAATTTGGCATCAACAAATTTGAAAATCTAATCAAGATTCAATCTTTTTTCACTAAAGCAGAAAGAAATTGGCTTCAAAATCAAGATTCAAGCTTTAAATGCATTTACCTGAACCGAGACTAAGAGAGACTATTCTTCCTTCTTTATAAAGAAACTCTCTCAAACCGTTAACTCGAAGCTTCTCAATAACTTCTAACCAAATTTCTTCAACAGCGGGTCGGTTAATTCTATTGTCTCCTCTTCTTCTGTCCAATCCAGAACTTCTTTCCGCTGCTGCATCGCTAGAAGGATCCAGATGGTGATCAGAGCTTTCTCTACCTCCACTGTTCTCTAATGGCACTGGACTTCGGTCAAAGCTAGTATCCGCAGTGGAAGAACGTTGAAGCAAATAGTTCTGATCAGGAGCCAATTGAAGCAACGCGGCTGTGAGCCAAGTCAGTTTATCGTTTGACACCCTCAGCTGTTTCTCTGCCTCAGATAAAGTCTTCAGGGCCTGCCTCAGTTTCTCCATATCTTCTTTAGATACTAAAAATGGTGACGAAAACACAAAGTTGGATCAGAAAAAAAGTAGGCACAAAGCTATTGCAATCTAAGTAGCTGTAAAATGTGGAAACTCACATGGTTGCCGTCGAAAAAACTTTCGTCTATGCCGATCTTTGGTGAAATCGTAACTACCCGCAAGAATATCGGTTATGACAGTTGCAAGCTGGGACATTAAAGCCAATGGTTCTACACTTGTTTCCATTATTGTCCTCAGGTTCTTCACAGTATTTACAGTGTCTGCAGATAAAGCTAAATCAAGAAGATCCACTAATTTCTCATCAGAAACAAGCCCAACCTGCAAAAGAAAAAAGAAAAGAATGTCAATGGATACGACAATTAACAAAAGCTCTGATTTTTCGATCTAATTTGTTAGTGCTTACCAGTTCCTGAACTAAAGGAACAGAGATCCTCTGTCCTAACAAACTCAGCTGTTCAAGAGTCATCTCAGCATCTCTTAATGAACCATCTGATCTCGAAGCAATAAGCTTCAAAGCATCTTTCTCTATCTCAATCCCTTCCTTTGATGCAATCCACTGCAAGGAGTAAACGATATCTGCGTCTTTCAGCTTGGGGAAGAAGAATTTCTGGCACCTCGATATGATCACATGAGGCAAAACGTCAAGACTCGAGCACACGAGGATAAAGACTACACGGCGTGGCGCTGCTCGGTCCACCACTTTGGACAGCGCATTCCAACAATCAGACGACAAGGTATCGCAATCATCAAATATGAAAACCCGAGGAGACTGCGACGAAACCATCACATTACCATCAAGCAAATCCATAATGTTCTCAAAGTCGAAATTCCCCACAGGACCCACTTCCCTAATGTTCCAGCTTTTGCCCGTTTCATGTGAAACACACGAACTGCAAGTCCCACAAGGCTTAGGCTGTTCCACAGAATGACAATTCAACGCCCTTGCGAATATCCGAGCGCAAGAGGTCTTTCCTGTTCCATTTGGACCGTGAAATACATATAAAAGTCCAAGCTTCCTTCTTGCAACTGCGTTAGAAAGAGCTTGTACAACCAGATTCTGTCCAACGAGGTCCCTGAAAGTCTTAGGCGTGTATTTCTCCGTAAGACTCTGATGCTGATGCCGATGAGGATTTCTATGGCTCTTCTTCTTGTGTTTCTTCTCCCCTGACCTTCCTTCTGAAGCAAGATCAGAATCTTCTCCATTCTTGAGCAAGTTGTCTGCAAAAATCCCTAGCTCCCCTGAGTAATCATGCACCCAACCTTCATTCTCTGCACTATCAACTAGCAAAGGAAGTGCTTCGCCGCCATCAGAGCGGTTCAAGGAGCTCGAGTCATCATCAGATTGTATCATCATCATATCAGATCCATTCCTCTCATTGGATTCACCTTTCCTTCCCTTTGAATCAGACATACCACAAGACAAACTCCTACCGGCCTTGTCGAGGAAAGTTTTCCCTCGGTGATGGATCCTCGACCAATTAAACGGAATTCCACAAGCCTTGGTCATGTTCTGTTCCCCAAATCCCTCTTTGACTTTGTCTCCCTCATACTTCTCACCTTGTGGCAGTGAGTTAGAAGCAACAGACATCTCACTCTTACCACCACCACCACCTGTATCTCTACTCTTGCCCTGAACTCTCCTCGTCCCTCTAAATTTCCGTCTTTTAGACCGATTCATTCCACCTGCGCATCCTCGAGTAGTACCACCACCACCACCATACCTAACCCGTGGACGAACATTAGATGAAACCACATCATCACTATCACCCACAACAACCTCGTTTAACTGATCAGACAGTGACTTAGCAATAGCATCATTGATTCTACTAAGCCTCCCACTAGCTTTTGATCCTGAATTCCCGGAAGCAAAACCATGAGAAACCTCATTAACATTTTGATAATCATCTTCAACTCTATAACTCTTTCTACTAGATTCCTCTCTTTTCAATCTCCTACCACTTTCTCTAGCTCCAATTTCGCAGCTTTTACCAAACCCTTCATCAGAAGGAGTCACTTTAGATGTCCCAAAGTTAACAACAGGTGAAGAACCACTCAAACCAGACAACCTACGACTAGACTTAGACTTCTTTTGATCAACGGATCGTCTTCCTTCCACGTGATCTCCTTTCTTCGGAAGCAAATCGACAATGGAAGAAGGCGTGTTCCAGGCCGGTGGGCTCGCAGAGGGATCTCGAAGAGAGCGTGACCTTTGGAGGACAATGAGGTCTCTCATTAGGGCACGGTCGGATAAAACCGGACTCTGTTTATGCATATGGTTCTTCAAGTGAATACAGTTGGTTAAATGGATGTGGTTACGAAGATGCTCACCGATGTCTCCATTTGCATCTTTCAGAATTCGATTCCGAGTAGAAGAAGAAGAAGCAACTCTTGTCGTTGTCGTCGTCGTTGTCGTCATTTATTCAGAAGGAGAAGAATTTTGTTTCCTTCCTCCTCGGAACCTTGCACAAAAACCAAATCGAATTGTATCTCATCGTGTGAACCAAATCCTCTCAACTTTCCAAATTCGAAGTAACTAGCAATGATTCCACTGAATACCCAAAGATTACAGCTTTAAAGTCTCGATACCCAAAGATTACAGCTTTAAAAGTCTCAAATCTCAAAAAACCACTTCCAAGAAGTTCACAATTTAGTGAGAAAAAAAGGTAAAAATATGACTTGGTAACGCAAATGGGGAAAAAATGGAAACTTTGGAGCTCTGTTACCAAATCGAGGGGAGAGAACAGGAGCTTAAGCATCAAAATTTCTGCTTCTTAAGCACTAAAGAGAAGGTGTGAGAGAGAAAAATTGATAAGAGTGGAAAAAAGAGGCAAGTGGGCATCATTGTTAGTGACCTCATCAGCCATAGAAACAACAGAAATCAAGAAACGGCATCGTTTTAAAAGCAATCACAGATCTCTCCTCTTTCTTTACCAAACTTTCACATGCAGATTCAGAGGAAACTGATGGGTTCTTCTGGCGATAACGATGGCTTTTGGCAGAGAGATAGGAGAAACCTCCGTTTCGGGAAGAGGGTTTTGTTTTTTTTGTTGGTTTCTAGTGAGGGAAAAAAATAAGAATCTTGAGAGAGAGAAAGAAATGGAGACAGATCTGTTGCAGACACGAACACAGATGCATATAATAGGAACAAAGCCAATAAAGAAGTGTCCGTTTGTATGAGAAGCATGCAAGGGAAATTATGCTCTTTAATTCTTTTTTTTTAAACATCATTAGGCTCTTTAATTCTTTTTTTTAACGACATTAGGCTCTTTAAGACTTTTTTTAATCTTCTAATTTATATGAAAATTATACAATTTATGCTATTTACTACTCTCTCCGTTTTATAATAAGTGTCGTTTTATATTTTCATTTTTTGTTTCAAAAAGAATATCATTCTGCATTTTCAATGTAACTATTTACTCTTATTTCCTGTTTTATTCCTCATTTAAAGATAATAATTTTTGTAATTAAATGTTATAAAAGTATATTAATTAGGAGTATATTTGTATATTTTATTTATTTCTTAATCTATTTTAAATGTGTTAGAATGACACTTGTTATGAAACGGTGGGAGTATTACTAATATCAACAGGTTTCAGAGCTTCGAATTATGCTGCTTGCTTTGTTTTTGGTACAGATTTAAAAACTAGTAGTTGTCATTTATTTTGTCAACCTTATTTTTTGGTGTTTTTCTTTGGGATATAATGGGGTCATTGTAGATACAACCGTTTGACTGCAACTGGGAAGATGATCTATTCCTTTAAAGAGAACCCAATCCTCATAAAGTATGTAAAATGTAATTTTCAAGACTTCAATTCATAAAAGGAAATCATTTGGATTCGTTATTTCGTTACCATTTCTAAAGGAGAAGAAATGTCCACCAAGCCAGTCATATCTTTGTACTCGAATGAGAAAGATTCCATAGTTCTATTGTGAAAATAGAATAAGTGAGTTTTAATGCCAAAACTGCATAGAGAATAATTAAGTAAAAAAAAGAAGAAATCGGATACGACAACAAAAACCTCCGGGAGATAACTTGGACGGTCAACGGGTCACGATCACGTGCGCACATTGAGACTGAGATGACCATTGAAAAAAAAAATTAGTATTTTTCTGTTGGCGTAGATGATGATCATTAAAGCTGATTTTGTTATTTTTCATAAAAACAAATGAGGAAACCGTCATTTCATGGAGGATTTATAGCCTATTAAAGTTTTGATCGGTAACTTTACGGAATAGCAGAACTGCGGAAAAAATCTTGCGGAATAGATTAAGCGATTTATAAGTCATCTTTTTGCGGAATGATTTTTCTTTTGTATTTTTGTTAAGCAAAAACGCAGTCTGTATTTTAGTGTGTATTTTTTCATTACGCGGATTTTTGTTGATTGGCAAAAAACCTACGGAATTATGTTTAAAACGCAATTCTGCCATTCCGCAGGTTACCAATCAGAGCCTAAATCTATCTTGGCACCAAAATTCCGTACTTGCACTCGTCGTGATCTAATCATAACTACCCATCACCTAGTTCTAGTTCTAGATTTTTTTTTTTTGTCATCTGATTTTCATTAATATTAGAAAATTAAATACGAGTTGAAATACATTAAGCCGGAGGAAACTTAACATCACCTAGTTCTAGATCTCAAAAATAATTCTTATTAATTTGATATAGAAAATACAAACAATATAACTAGTAGATTACCAATGAATTTTAATATTTTTTTTGTAAGAAATGAAATGAAATAAAATTTAAGGTTCCTATATACCACAATACAAGTGAAGGAGAAGGCATAGGATTCGGATAATATAATAAATGGATGAGGGTATGGTATGGACTCTGGAGAGTACGTATGGACCAGGACCACCGATTTGTATATTTTGGAAATTAATATTAGTTGGTCGGAGGAGGCTTTATCATGTGTCTTTTACAAAGACTCATGAGACATGAGACACTTTTTGATTACAAAAAAAAGGCATATCAACATGACTACATGTGCGTCTGCTAGCTATTGTATTTTCAATCCGAAGAGATTTGTTACATGGACGACAATATATCTAGGCACCTGAAATTTTGTCTATGTTTTGAACTGATTTACATATACCAAACTGGTTTTTTTTTTTCCGACGAAACCAAACTGGTTAAATATGTCATTTTGGTTAGCATACAAGTGGTTTCACTACATATTAATCATCTAAATATCGCTTACTCCTATGGTCAAATCTCCTGTGTGTCAGTGTGTTTGTGTGTGTAGAACTTACTACATTACAACTTTTTGGGACCAAAAAACACATCATAAGTCATAAGTGAAAGTGTGAAACATTAGGATGGTCCCTAAAAACAAAACTTATGTTATATCGCAGTTATACACAAGAAAGTTGGGAGATATAAGTCACATCACTATTAGCCACTTCTGTATATATGTTCGCTAATTATAACGATCGATGTTAACATTATTTCTCTGGTTGCATTGTATATATAATATTTATTATATTTAGAAAAATGTGAAGCTATAGTGTGGATACTTTAAATTTCTCAACTACTAGTACTTTGTATAAAGTCGAGAATCGGCAAGGCTCGTGAATTTTTTTGTTGGTATCTGAAATATTTATTAAGATAATCTGAAATACGCTGATATCTTCTTTTCCCCCCGGCAAAAATACGTTGTTATCTACTTATCTATAACCAAACGAAAAAGGATAAAATGAAACATGTTAGATAGCACTATAGAGGTTTCGCCTAAGTTTTATCGTGGAGGTTAATCAAATGTTTGAAAAATGAAGGAGTTTATGAATAGCACCTAAAAAATGAGGTCCTTGTAGTTCCAAAATCCAATGAACTAAAAAAGTGACTTTAAATAGACATTCTCTGACAAGTTAACATAACGTTTAATTTTGGAAAGTATTTTGATTCTCGAGCCCAAACTGATGCTTTAACACTTGGAACTTGTAAGAGTGCAGAATAGAATCTCTATCTACAAACTCAGGATTACTTTGTTATAAACCCTATGTGGCCTTTTTTCCGTTTGATATATGTTTCCTTTTGTTATATATTTAATACTTCGTATATCTAGTAGGATACAAATGTCACTACAGGAAGAAAAGAATGTTAAAGCAGATACACATACTTACATAGTGAAATATGTTGATAAAACAAAAAATGTTAAAGTTTATGACTTGCCATCTTCAAATCAATTGAATGAGTTAACATTTTTCCAAAATGTTATATTTTCTCACGTACGACACATTTTTATACAAACTACAAAGCCATAAAATCTGTTATTATGAAGAAAATAAAATAAAATAAAAGAATTCTATGACGTATAAAATCAGAACTAGTACAAATATCATCAACATCCAAATCTTAAAGTTCGTATAATCCATACCTAAACTATTTACCAAAATGCTTAACATGCATTGTCGAAGAATATCCTGGCATTTCTGACGTTTCAATAATCTCTAACTTGTTTTTAAAAGTTACAATATTATGTAACCGCTTAGTTCTATAATTAAATGAAAGTGCTGTTCATCAAAAGAAAAAAGCTAGCATTCTTTGATCACGTGCCACCATCGCTACTTTGCGGCGACCCATTGCTCGGCTCCACCTCCACGTGCCTGTATCGGCGTCCTGAGGTTTTAGCAAAACCTAGGCTTTGACTGGTAACCTGCGGAATGACGGAATTGCGTTTTTAAACACAATTCCGTAAATTTTTTGTCAATTAACAAAAATTTGCGTAATGAAAAAATACACACAAAAACGCAGATTACGTTTTTGCTTAACAAAAATACAAAAGAAAAATTATTCCGCAAAAAAGCGGTATAAATCGCTTAATCTATTCCGCAAAATTTTTTCCGCAATTCCGCCATTCCGCAAAGTTACCAATCAAAGCCCTAACTACACAGAACAAATTGTTCCCCACATGTTCTTCTATATATGTAAAACCCCAATTTAATATCCCAAAAAATTACTAGGCTAGAGAAAAGTCAAAAGCTGAAGCTAAATAAAACCAACCAATTTACATAATTACATATCACGAATTTGCTTGTGATATTTACTTACATCTCGATTGCTTCAAACATATGTTTTCTCTATCACGTTTTAAAATTAGTAATTCAGTAGAATATCAAACTTGGATATTGCTCGAATATCAATTTGAAGCAAAATCCAATTTAAATTTATAAACTTATAAATAAAAGGTGATTGCATTTCCTATCATCAAATCACCTCACCAATTATAGAGCCTAGCTGCGAATGTTCTTTTCTTACAATGTAAACATGGATATTACATAAAGTGATTGCTATTAAAAGAGTTGTTCTTCAATTGTTGGTTTGCGAGGTGCCATGATATCGAAAAGGACCGAGCTTTAGTTGAGAAATTAAAACTGCTGGGCTCTGATACCAACTGATAGAACAATGGATAGTAACCGATAGGATTTGTGATTTCGATTGTTTAGTCTGCGAATGCCTAAACGAAATACACGATCTTGAGTTCGTTGAGAACCAATGTTCTAGCCGAAAGCAAGAGGTTTAAAAGAACAAAGTGCTTCTTAGATTAATAATTCAATAAGTCGTATTCTCACAAGTTGAGATATCGACTATACTTATAATAAGAGTAAAACCCTAAAGCGATTAAAAAAGGAATAAATAATTTATCTAAAGAAAGGAAAAAATTTAAAGAGAAGGAATGTAAATAAAAACTAAAGCCAAAACAGAAAAGGAATGACGTAGATACGATGCATCAGTTTTTGAATTTTCATCTCACGTTCTAAGTACTCGAAAAGATTTGTAATGCAAATAAAGAGACAAAACAGAAGTTTAACAATATCTTGTTTACTGTTGAATAAGCTTAATCTTCCAATGAATGTCAAAGTAGCACTAGAGAAAATAATAAGTCAATATTATCACACAATAATAAAAAATAAACAGAGCTTAATTTACTTTGCTCCCAACCAATCACAACATAAATATATAAGATTGCAAATTAATACTTTCGACTTCTTGAAACAAAATTTTGTCGGAAAATCTCTTCCAAATGTTTTGGGAATAGAAACTTGAGTAATGTGTTATTAAGCTGGTTTCCCTGCGATTAACAAAAGCGTCTGTAGTCCAACGGTTAGGATAATTGCCTTCCAAGCAATAGACCCGGGTTCGACTCCCGGCAGACGCATTTTTTCTAATTATTTTGTGTCGTTTGAAGTACTGGTTCTGTAGGAAGAGAAGCTTTTTGGCTGAACCGCAAAACCAAACCGTTGGCTGAGACTTCCCCACGTGTGTGGTCTACAATCTCCATTCGTTTCACAGCACAAACATCTCTCTTGGCAAAATCTTCCAAGAGTTTTTGGAATTGAGAAATGGAGCTTTCTTCTTCTCTCAAGCTTTCATCGCCGTTATCTCCTTCCATCATCAACCTTCAGGTTACTTAAACAATTTCGCTCAGTTTTCCTATAATTTCTTACTTCGTTGATCTTCTATTACTCTGAAATTGGGTGGCAACAATTTTAGGCTAGAGTTCTTGTGTAACGATTCCAACTTAAACAAATTCGAAGACTTTGTTATTACTATTGTGTTTACTTGGGAATTTTTTTTTTTTAGCTTTTGCAGGGCACTTCATCAAGTAATATAGTAAACTTCTCTAACTACACTTCACTTCCTAAACCGTTTCTTCAACATGATGATAGAAGCCGACGTCTTCGACACCAACAAGCTTCACATTCACACTCTGTCAATCTAAGATCATATAGAAAACGTGTAACTGCAAAATCGGAATCACAAGGTTGGGACTTTGGTAGATTCGTCAAAACATTGTACTTCTTCAATGGACCACCGTCTCCTCTAAAGGTACATATATGAGCGTAAATCTCATTGAGGTTTAGAAACGTTTAGTTATTTTGGCGTAATTGATTGGTTTTTTTTTTTTTTTTTTTTTTTGCTTGTGAAGTTTGTTTCATCAGTGTTTGAGAAACTAACTAACGGATCAACGGAGGAACCGGTTAATGAAATGGAAACTTCAGGGATCATACTTGTGGCTGGAGCTACTGGTGGTGTAGGAAGAAGGGTAGTTGATATCTTGAGGAAGAGAGGGTTGCCTGTTAAAGCATTGGTACTAAGCTTTCAATAGATATCTCGATGCTTGTGTTTTTAATTCTGACAACGTGAGCAAAAGTCTTTAACTTTTGTGTACAATATTCACAGGTTAGAAATGAAGAGAAGGCTCGTAAGATGTTAGGACCTGACATTGATTTGGTGAGAAATTCCACTGAAACTTTCCACATTTTTAAGATTATCAATAACTATAGACTCTTGCATTTTAACAGTGGACTAAAAAGTCTTGATGTTGTCAGATTTTTGCAGACATTACGAAGGAGAATACACTGGTTCCTGAAAAGTTCAAAGGAGTGAGGAAAGTGATCAATGCCGTTTCTGTTATTGTCGGTCCAAAGGAAGGAGATACACCTGAGAGACAAAAATACAATCAGGTAGGTGGATTTCCCAGATTGAAGTTCTCTTAAAGCTTTGAATTTTTTTAATATTCTAGTTCTGAGAAATGACGATTTTTGGATATGGGTTTTAACGCAGGGAGTCAGATTCTTCGAGCCAGAGGTAATGAGACTAAAAGAACATTTCATGAATTTTTGAGAAAGTTCTGTGTTCAGTGTTCAACAAAACTAAAACCTATAGATTGTGGTGATACACAGATAAAAGGCGACTCTCCCGAGTTAGTGGAATATATTGGAATGAAGAACTTAATCAACGCTGTAAAAGATGGTGTTGGACTTGAGAACGGGAAGCTTCTTTTCGGTGTTGGAGGTAAGCTGAGTCAACTAACTTGATTAGGCTTTTAACTTGACATGAACAATTTTTGAAAAATTACTCAATGTATTTGTACAGATAACACGTTTAAAGATCTACCTTGGGGGGCCTTGGATGATGTTGTAATGGGAGGTGTCAGCGAAAGCAACTTCCTAGTCGATCTAACAGGTGGTGAAAACGGTGGACCTACAGGGATTTTCAAAGGTTAGATAATATAACAACTCAATTTCACAATTTTTTTCTTCTCTTGGGTTTCTACTTTTATAAACGTAAACATTGTTTTGTTAGGAATTGTTTCAACGACAAACAATGGCGGGTTTACTAGTGTACGAACGAAGGTAACGGGTACGACTTTATGTCAAAATCTCTCCAACATTTCTCTATCCTTTACTCTCTTATTGAAGCACACGAGTCTTTTCTTCAAAAAATTTCTGTCAGAACTTTCCCGAGGCCGAGAATCTCTCTGCATATGACGGTCTAGAGCTAAGACTCAAAGGAGATGGACTCCGTTACAAGCTTATCGTCCGGACAAGCCAAGATTGGGATACTGTTGGTTACACTGCTAGTTTCGACACTTCACCAGGCCAATGGCAATCTGTAAGTGAAATTACTTTTGTCATATATTCTTGATCTAACTCTTGTGGCTATATCAATAACAATGTTATATTTTCTTTTTCAAATCATAGGTACGCTTACCTTTCTCGTCTTTAAGACCTGTATTTCGTGCACGGACAAAGTCAGATGCACCACCTTTTAATCCGGCAAGTATCATTTCACTACAGCTTATGTTTAGCAAGTTTGAATATGACGGTAAGCTTAACCCGACTTTCAAAGAAGGACCATTCGAGCTTCCTCTATCGAGCATTCGAGCTTATATCCAAGATCCCGTTACTCCAAGGTCCGGTTTCAGTTTCTTGCATTCTAGAAACCAAACTCTTCAGTTTAAACTCTGAATTTGCATTTTCGTTACTTACGGTTTACAGGTTTGTTCATGTTGGCTCTGCGGGAGTAACCCGACCAGAGAGACCCGGTTTGGATCTAAGTAAACAACCTCCGGCTGTGAGATTAAACAAGGAGCTTGATTTCATTCTCACTTACAAGTTGAAGGTTTGTTCTCTCTATACTCTCTTCTTAGCAGAAAATTGGAGAAACTCATTATCACAAAGATTTTAAAGCTCTTTTATGTAAATATGAATAGGGAGAGGATCTGATACGCAGCAGCGGGATTCCGTTTGCGATTGTTCGGCCATGTGCTTTAACAGAAGAGCCTGCCGGAGCTGAGCTCATTTTCGATCAAGGAGACAACATTACGGTATGTTTCAGTTTTGCTTCCAAAACTTCTTAAGTTAACTAACATAACTAACTTCGGCTTTTAATATATAGGGTAAGGTATCGAGAGACGAAGTAGCTCGTATATGCATTGCTGCTTTAGAAAGCCCGTTAGCTCTAAACAAGACATTCGAGGTTTCAAGAATTAAGGAAATCAAGTTTCTTTTTTTTTTTTGAGGGGTTTTCTTCAAGATGTTTAATTTGAGCTATGTTTGTGTGTTATTTGTTTTCAGGTTAAAAGTACGGTTCCGTTTAGCGAACCTTTCACGGTAGATCCTGAGAATCCTCCACCGGAGAAAGACTACAATGAGTATTTCAAGAATCTGAAAGATGGAATCACTGGTAAAGAAGCTTTGGAACAGAGCACTGTTGCTGTTTAAAACCAGATATTTCATCTTACATACTTTTTGTAACTTTTTGTTTTTTTTTGTTTCTTAATTCTGTCTGAAAAAAAGTCTTTTGAAAGGTAAAAATAAATAAATAATAAAGTTTGTATATTCCATGTATACGGATTCGTACATTGTAGAATTAAGATTTTACAAAGCTTGTTAAACGACAACAATTAAGATTGTACCTTTTGATCCGTGGAGGTTTTAGAAGATTCTCGAATTTCTCTGCCATTTCTTTGTTTGTGAGAATTGTTCCTTGTGGTGTAAGAAAGGCCGTACGTTGAAACGGTGGAGACCAGATTCCACTTTGCTGGTAATTGAACTGAAACTCAGACACATCAATGTACTTCTGAAGAAGTTTTTCTGAAACTGGTTTTGATACGCTCTCAGCGAAAACAGAGGAAGAGGAAGAGGAAGATGGAGATTGAGACATTACTTAAAATAAATAAGACAACATTGAAAGAAAAAAAGTGAAAATTTTGATTGGAGGGTTTCATGAGGAAAGGCTTGATGGAGACTTTATGGTAATCAGTAATGACAAATTAATGGATTTTCTGCGAATAATGGAGGGTGAGTGGAGAGGAGCACAGAACATTTATCTGTCAGGAGTATTTTTTTCTCTCTCGTTTTTATTTCTTTCTAATAATCAGATTCGTTTTTGGATTACATATAAATCATTGAGCTATTTCACATGGCAAATGTTGTTATTGCTAACTAAAATATTAAACAAGTTAACTTGAGTAAAATTCTCTCTATTCGATAGTTCGACAATCTCATTAATCCCAAATGATTAGTGTTTTACTTTTGACCAAATGATTAAATAGTATATATACGATAGTAAACATTCGATATACTATTTACTCTAAACTCTTTCTCGACTCTGTGAAGATATCAAAGAATTAAGGTCGTATAGGCTTGAAATAGTACGTATTTATACCCATTGGGTACTAATTATATACAACTACAAATATTTCACCCTTTTGTTTTTTTTCGAAATTAAGAGTGACTAAATTTTCGCTTTTTACCAATGTAAACATGACTACCACCACTTTGTGACCTTTTCAAGAAAACATTACAGTAAATGTCGGATCTACCCCTAGTTTCAAAGGGTTAAAGAGCCGCAGATCAGACGAATAATGCAGGGATTTTGGTCATTTCGTTGACAATTTTTTTTTCACCTTGTCTAGTCTCAGCCAGAAAGACACAAGTCTTACCCTAGTTTTTCAAAAGTCTCTGTTTTTCTTTGGAAATCTGGGAAAATTTTTGAATCCAAAGAGAAAAAGCGGAAAGAAAAAAAAAGCAAAATCAAACTTTAAGTTTCTTTTCTTTTCATCATAGTGTCTTGTCGATATCTGTTCAATTTTCTCGGCAGATCTAAGGGCAATTTTTTAATTTTTATTTTCATTTTCTTTGTTCCGTCGAAGTGTGAAGCTTTATTCTGTGAGCAGTGTTAATGGCGGGTTACAGAGCTGATGATGATTACGACTACCTTTTCAAGGTTGTTCTAATCGGTGATTCGGGTGTTGGAAAGTCCAATTTGCTTTCTCGATTCACCAGGAACGAGTTTAGCCTCGAGTCTAAATCCACGATCGGTGTCGAGTTCGCGACTCGGAGCTTGAATGTTAACGAAAAAGTCATCAAAGCCCAGATTTGGGATACTGCTGGCCAAGAAAGGTTTGATTTTTCTTCCTTCTTTTTCATTTTCATTTCTTCATTTCTCGATCTGGGTTTTTAGGTCTTGGCCTTTAGATTGTGGATTCTGGACAATTCCTCTCTGGTTTGAGTCCTCGAGGACTAAATTGTTAGGCTAAGCAAACAATTTAGGTTAGAAATGTGAAAATCCGTTGCTGTGGATCGGTGTATACTCTGGCATTGATGGGTTTGTACATTTGCATAAAGAGGCAGAGCTTAAGCAAGCTTGAAAATCTCATTAGTCTCGTAGTAGATCTTAGGACCAACTATATCACCGGAGGTGAAGCATGCATTATTTACATTGTCTTCAATGATTATGATTTAAAGTTACCAGTTTTGTAGGAAATAACTTTGTTTTGCTGATTACTTACACCAATGAGAGATTAATATTGTTTGGTGTAACTGTAACTTCACTTCCATGTATCATACTTGCCTCCATAATTAGAGAAGATTATAGCTTTAAAGTCTCTCTTCAGTTATTTTTATCTTTTCCGCCATTTTTTAGGTACCGAGCAATCACTAGTGCATACTACAGAGGAGCAGTTGGGGCGCTTCTTATCTACGATGTAACTCGACACTCCACATTCGAAAACGTTGAGAGATGGCTAAAGGAACTTCGTGACCATACCGATCCAAACATCGTTGTGATGCTCGTGGGAAACAAATCCGATCTTCGTCATCTTGTGGCTGTTCAAACCGAAGACGCGAAGTCTTTTGCGGAGAACGAATCGCTCTACTTCATGGAAACTTCGGCACTTGAAGCTACTAATGTTGAGAACGCGTTCTCTGAAGTGCTCACTCAGATTTACCATGTTGTGAGCAAGAAAGCAATGGAGGCTGGTGGTGATTCGAACTCGGGTAATGTTCCTTCGAAAGGTGAGAAGATCGATGTTGATGTCTCTGCTGTGAAGAAGACCGGTTGCTGCTCGAACTAAAAGACTTGTCTCTTGCAGATTGAGGGGTTTGGTCTTGTGTCCTCAAGCCAAGATCGGTTTTTTTTTCGTTCTTTACATTCAAAATTCTTTTGAAGGTGTTTGCTTTTTTTAGGAAAAAACAATCTACATGTTATGTATGCTTTGACTTGCTTGCTTGAAATTTGCTTAGCTTTGTTCTGTTTCTGTACCGGTTAAAGAGATTTTGTAATTTAACCGGTTCTGGTCTATGGTTTGTTGTTCAGCTTGTTTTCTCTTCAATCCGGAAAAATCACTTAACTGTTATAACACATATGGACTCTTATACCGGCCCATCAGGGCATTGTACTTAACCTAGATTCCCTATGTACTCTATATATACATTCCAGTGATTAATAAAGTTTCTAAGTTTTCACAACACGTTATCAGCACGATAAGACTCTCTGAGCAAAAAACCCTAATAAATCCGGCCACCACCAAAACCCTAAAAGCAAGTCGAAACTTAAAAGACGCATATCTTCCAAACCGTGAGGAACCAGAAGACGATCTACATATCAAATCGAAGCCCTCGACGAGACGAATCTACTGGTGAAAACCGTTTGTCGATCCAACGTCGGACGCGCCCTCACGCACACTTACAGTACACGACGATCAACCAAAAAAAAATTTATTTTTTTTCATTTTGGGATTTGTTTCATTTTTTTTTCCATTTGCCGTTATTCTCAGACACTGCTTTACTTTATGATTTATCACATTTTCTGAATTCCTCAATACTGAATTCTATCTTCTATTCATAATGAAGCACACCAGCAAATGGAAACCATAGTCGTAGATAGTGGATCCAGCCACACTATCTTAAGAAACAAAAGTTACTTCATAAACCTAACCTATCAAACCGCAAATATTAGCACCATCGCGGGTCCCTCAAACCTTATCGAAGGATATGGTCATGCCTATGTGTTGCTATCAAATGGCACACAACTTGAAATACCAGATGCTCTATATTCTCCTAGTTCGAAGAGAAATCTTCTGAGCTTCAAGGATATAAGACAGAATGGTTTCCACATAGAAACCCAAGGTCAAGGGAACAAAGAATCCCTCCTAGTCACTAAAACCGTAGACGGCCATAAACAAATCCTCGAAACCATACCCGCGCTCTCTACTGGACTTTACCATGCTAAAGTCAGTATGATTGAAGCTAATACCACTCTCAAAGCCTGGTTTACTGATTATACTATTTGGCACGACCGGCTCGGTCATCCCGGTGCAAATATGATGCGTAAACTAATTCAAAACTCTCAAGGGCATACCCTCAAAGAAAACCGAGCTTATCCTCAACACCTCATGTGCACAGCTTGTTCTCAAGGCAAATTGATCACTCGGCCTTCACCAGTTAAATCTCTAAACAAACACTTCATTTCCTAGAAAGAATCCAGGGCGATATCTGTGGACCTATACATCCATCTTCCGGACCATTCCGGTACTTCATGGTCCTTATAGACGCATCGACCCGTTGGTCATATGTTTGTCTCTTGTCCTCTCGGAACCAAGCCTTCGCTAGGTTCTTGGCCCAAATCATAAAATTGCGGGCCCATTTCCCTGACTTCCCACTAAAGACTATCCGCCTTGACAATGCTGGTGAATTTACCTCACAAGCGTTTAATGACTACTGTATGGCCATGGGGGTAACCGTGGAACATCCTGTAGCACATGTCCATACTCAAAATGGATTGGCTGAATCATTCATTAAACGCATTCAATGGATAGCCCGACCATTACTCATGAGATCAAAGCTCCCGGCCTCAGCATGGGGACATGCAGTATTACATGCTGCTGAACTCATACGCATCCGGCCATCTAGTGAACACAAATATTCCCCATCCCAACTACTCTCGGGTCATGAGCCAGACATCTCCCATCTCAAAACATTTGGGTGTTCAGTATATGTACCCATTGCTCCACCACATCGAACCAAAATGGGACCTCAAAGAAGGATGGGAATATATGTTGGTTTTGACTCTCCCACCATCATAAGATATCTCGAGCCAACCACTGGAGATCTCTTCAAGGCCAGATATGCGGATTGCCAATTCGATGAATCGGTATATCCCTCTTTAGGTGGTGAGACAAACAAGCTGGTCAAAGATCTTTCATGGAATCAAACATCATTAAATTGGCAAGATCCTCGGACTCTAGAATGTGATTCAGAGATCCAAAAGATTATTCATTATCAAAAGCTAGCTAATCAATTGCCAGATTCCTTTGCTGACCCGACCAAAGTAACCAAATCGTACATCCCAGCTTGTAATGCACCAGTACGAATAGCTGTCCCAACGGGACAGACCCAAATTGCTACAGAGTCTGCACCACGTCTCAAACGGGGCAGACCTCTCGGTTCCAAAGATAAGAATCCCCGGAAATCAAAGAAAGGTGCAATAACCGAAACCGGGATTCCTGCAATATCAGACATAGCCGCGGCTGAGACTCAATCTAATGAACCCTCAATGGAAGTTCGGGACGCCGAATCTCCAGGTTCAGAAGATAACAATGAGATCTCCATCAATTACAATATGTCCGGAATACAATGGAATCGAAAAGAAGTCGACTTAAATGCACTCTTTGCATACAAAGTAGCACTTGATGTTGCGCTCACGCAAGAGGATCTAGAACCCACGTCAATAACACAGTGTACACATCGAACAGATTGGCTAAAATGGAAAGAAGCCATAAACGTGGAGTTAAAGAGTCTCAAACTCAGAAACGTGTTCGGTCCGATCATCCGGCCCCCATCACACATCAAGCCAGTGGGCCACAAATGGGTTTTTGTGCGCAAAAGGAACGAACTCGGTGAAGTCGTTCGATACAAAGCACGGCTTGTAGCACAAGGATTCTCACAGAGACCCGGAATCGATTATGAGGAGACTTATTCTCCAGTGGTGGATGCAACAACATTCCGATTCCTCATAAGTCTGGCCATAAGAGAAAATCTTGATCTGCGGTTAATGGATGTTGTAACCGCATATCTCTATGGGCCCCCTGGGAACAACGAAATATAATATGAGACTCCCA